AATTAAATAATATGATTTCATATTAATATATCATAACTTATAAAATATTAATAAATCATACATATCCTCTTCTCAAAAGTCCAAATTGTTCTGATGAAGTGCAACCCAAATGGACCATGCTAAATCGGATCAAGTTCATACCAAATATAGTTATGGACTGAGACACCTTATCCAACACTAGTATGCTATGATGTTATATGATATGGGATAGAGGGGTAGGGTAGACCCCAATACCGATCGATAGGATCGAAGGGGTATGTCAGCACCCAAATAAGTTAGACAGTATATGACTTGTATATTTATGCACTAGGATGCTATGTGTTAGTGTAGGGGTGAAATAGTCCACAATATCGGTCGAAAGGACCGAAGGGGTAGGCCAGCACCCTGATATGCTAGGCAAGCTACCAGTCGGTAGGACCAAAGGGGGGGCCGACACCTGGATATGATAGGCAAAGTACCGGTCGATAGGACCGAAGGAGTAGTTAGTACCCAGTTATGTTATGTAGTATGTGTTATGTATGGTATGTGGTATGATGGGGGGACTCACTAAGCTTTGTGCTTGTAGCTTTCCATTCTGTTTTCAGGTACCTCTTCATAGAAGGGGAAGGAGCCGGTATGGTAGTAGCACATCACACACAAACACACAGGATTTCCGCATCATGAGATTCTTGGGATTGTACTATGAAATTATTATTATTTCATGAGATGTTTTTGAGACATGTGATTATGATTTTATGATATGATGTGACACGATGATGTTTTCTTGTAATTGTTTTTCTAGATCGTTATATATCAAATGAAGTTTTGGCCTTGAAAATTGGGATGTTACACCACAGCTTATATATGGATTGCTCTCGAGCATATAACATACGTCTGACTTACTCTCAAGACCCACAACTTATGTTTGGATTGCTCTCGGCTTTGTTAGCTATCGTACAAAGCATTACAACCTCAAACCAACCACACTATGTTGACATATAACATAACAGATGAACATATATTCAACAATAGATAATCACATGACCAGTCAACAAATAATCAGGCAGATCTAATAGCACTACTGTATAGCAACATCCTTTATACCAAGATACATAACCCAGTGGGCTGGCATTGGTGTCTTCGACCCACAAGTACAATGAGGAAAACTCACCTCTCAGTCTAAATATAAGCCGAATAAATCTCTACTATGAAAAATCAACTCAACGATCACCTAACTAAAGCAAAGGACCTAATCTCAGTTAATAGTTCAAAATAAAGAACATACCCATATGTCAAACTTGGTCAAAACTCTGGTTAAAGGTCAAGGTCAACGAGTCAAATCATCTGAGTATACGGGACGTACTCACCTTGTACGTTGGGCGTACACAAGCCTTGACCACGATCGGGAAATTGACCCCGTATGCGCGGCATACGTAGGGTTACATACGACGTATGAACTGAAGTCCTTTTCCTTAATAATAGCTTAATGCGTTAAGCTCTTACATTCTAATTGCATATCCAAGACCAAAATACCATTGAGAGTCATAAAGTTTCCAACTTTATGACTTTGCATGCCAAATAAGAGCTTAATACCAACAATCTTAAATTCTTAACACCTAAAGACCTTTTAGAGCATGCATGGGGAAGCACTAAGCATCAAGATCTCATTTTTATGACTCAGTACCCATCATTGGGTCTGAAAGGACTACTTATTTGATCAAGAGCATGCTATGCTTAAGAATCATAAAGGTTGGGGGACCAAAAATGCCATAAATGGAGGAATAACTAGATTCATAAGAAAAGATGATCAAGCTTCAAGCTTTTTACCTCCTGGAGGTTGCTATCAACGAGAGAATCCCATATCCAAGCTTCTTCCAAATTCCAATGTCCTTCCACTACCTTCTTCTTCTTCTTCTTCAAGAATCCCACAAAAATACACAAATGTGCTTAAGATGCACTCTTCACATTTAGGATTAACTAGAGCGATGATTTTTAGGTGGAGGCTAATGAGGGTGAAGGTCTTGGAGCCATAAAGGGAATTATATAGGGTGCAAACCCTCATAACTAGGGTTTTGGTCTGAACAGCATATGCGTTGCATACATGCTGAGTACGCTGAGCATACGCATGTGAATCTTGTGTTCCTCACGCATGAGTATGTCATGCGTACACCCTGATTCACGACGTACGAACCAGAAAGGCAAGCTTGAATAAAATTAGGGTTAGAAATAAACCTTCTTGGAGCATATGTCATAGAGGTTGGGAGCTATATGTGGCATGACATCGCTTTGGATAAGACACATGGAGAGAAGTTTCTAAAACTGAAAGGAATGGCACATTCCAGTATCTTTGGTAAATTATTTAAAAGAATATATTTAATTTTGATTTATTTTTAACTTCTTTATTTTTTTGTTGACATGGCTTGATTTTGGAGCAATTTCAAATGATTACATGGATTCAATTTATTGGGCATCACTGAACAATCGAACATGTGTGCGGTATAGAGGCCACAAACATTGTGCAAAAACTCTTTTTATTGATTTGCAAGAGGATATGGATGTAGCATGGGCTCGAGCCCCCAATGGTATGGATCCGCAACATTGGAGTGATGTTATTGACCACTTTTTACCATATAAGCATAAAAAACAATCCAGTGAAAACAAAGAATGTTGAAAGAAACAAGTAGTTAAGAATCGTGGAGGGACGTACAACTATAGTAGTACTTGTTTTAAGAACTAAGTTACAATAATTTTTATTCAGTTATAACATATTTTTTAATATTTATTCAAGCATAACATATTTTGTAATGATAAATAGAATTTGAATAGACCTAAAGCATTTCACCATGGGCATGTGAATAAACAAGGGGAATTTGTTGATCTGTTAGTTGAAGACCAATATGCAATTTATTACTTAAAAATGAAGTAGATTTTTTTTTGTTAGTTTTAAAGTTTATTGACAATCTTCGTAAAATACAAAATGCTTTATTTGGTGAGGTTACTTTATAGACTCTGGTGGTGATCCGAACTCCATTGATTGTATCATAATATTTGAGAAGGTGTTAAGTGCTTGAAAGGGACACGTGAGAGGCATTGGGCCTAAACCTCCTTTTGCAGCGAGTACAAGTGTTCAATCCCAATGACATTCACAATCACAAACATTGCAACAAACATAGGTACTTACTAAACTCTTAAAGAATTTGGTAGCTTTGCTATGTTAAGAACTTGATCCATTTATAGTAATTTTGGTAGTTGGATACTTGCTTATTTGTTAAGTGGTTAATTCATTTGTTATGAATTTGGTATTTTGGTAGTTTGGTAGTTTGTTAAATTGTTAAAGACTTAATTGATTTGGTGGTTTGATAGTTTGTTAAATTGTTAAAGACTTAATTGATTTGATGGTTTAATAGTTTGTTAAATTGTTAATGACTTAATGTGTTTGTGACTTAATTGTTAAGTAATAATAATTTGTTTTTTTAGTTTGATATTTTAACTTATATATTTACTTTGTAGGATGTGGATGTTAACACTTTTCTCCAAAATCAAGCGTTTGTGACGGTAATTGGAAATATTATCCGCTCATTTAAGAACCAAGTCAACAACGAGGAGAACAACGATGGAGAAAACAACAATGGGGAAGACAAAGATATCTATTATTTTTTGTTTTATGTTATGGATGATGTTATTTTGGATTTATTAGATAGTTTGTAGATGATATATTTAATGTTTATTTTGGATTTATTAGATAATTCATATAATACTGTATATTTTATGTTTTACGTAATTTGATATGTATTGTTTTATGTTATTTCATATTTTATGTAATGTGGTATGTATTAATTTATATATTTTTATCAAATCTGCATTTTATAATATATAAACTAATATCATATATAAATTGTTTAAAAATAAAAGCATTATCGGCGACACCTTTAAGGAAGACATTCACCGTGATCGAAATATCAATAGAGGCGACACTAATAGTAACACCCGAGACTTTTAGCGACGACAGCTATTAGAGACGACGTTAATTGTGACGACAATTGAATATGCTACGAGGTAATAACAACAACCCTTTAGCGACATGTCGTCGCTAAAGGTATTAGCGACGATATTAGGCATCAATTGGGACGTTTTTTTGTCGTCGCTAAAGTAAGGTTTTTTGTTGTGTTACTTTTTGTTGTGAGGGTAGGTGTCATAAAGATAAAGAACGAAGATTGCGGCTTGTTTATGCATAAGATAGAGATAGGAAGAAGCGCATATCCGTTTCGGGTTGGATGCAATCGGGTGTAACATGGTTTCTAAAGGTGGTGTAACCTCAAATGAAGATCATTGGTTTATCTTCTAAAGGATCATGAAAAGGTATATGACGCATAGCCATATTCGCGCTCTTTGAGAATGCAAAGATGGTAGGTTATGTGTGGGGGTAAACCAAAGAGGTTTAAATATTCTTGGTTTAAACCTATAAGAATACCATTAAATTGGTCTCTCTTGTTTGCCCAAATAAAATGAGGGTTTTATATTCGCGAAACTCAATTGGCATAATCTATATGAGTGAAAGGAAACTTTTTAATTTGGTTGGAGATTGTTGGAAATTATAGCAAGTTGAGAATTTCCCATTATCCCACATTGATAGGAGGAACCAAAAGTGTACTCGTTGATATATTCTACAAATATCATACAAAACAAATCATTTCATTTTTATCAAGTCATTTTAGGATCAACATTCTACATTCATGCCAGTTTGGGTTTTCGTTCTTCTACGTTCTTGATGATTTCTTTTGTCAATATATATTTCTATAACCATTTGCAATAAATTATAAAAAAACTCCAACAAAATATCATCAACTTTTTAAAATAACTTAAAATCAGAAATACAAACATGCATAAAGAAAACAACATCTTCATTAGAATATAAGTTTAAACTCAAAACAACCCCAAATTTACAATTACCAAAAAAAGAAATGTACACCTAAATTTATTTTTTACCAATCAAAATAAAATAAAATCGCAACTCCTCTTCCCTACGAGGATTTCTTTTTTCTAAAACATTCAAAAACCGGTGTCGGACGAAATCCATAAGCGGTAGCATACGTAAGATACGCGCACGACATACCAATATACACTTTGACCCAAACAGACGAAAAAAACGCAAGATATGTGAATACTGAAGTGATGGCTAAGACTATTAAGCAATTAATAAGGCACTTTAGTGTAGAAAGTTCTCCTTCGGTTCCTTCATTAGGAAAATGGCCTTGGGATATGAAATCCGAAAGTAATTGGTCTTTGAGTTGAAATGTGTTTAAAAGCCAAGTGTTGCATTCGGTTTCTGAAGATGGGATTTGGTCTAAAGGGATTCGACGGACGTGAAGGTGGACTTCGGATGGCTCGACTCCGAATACGTTGTCTGTGAAAGTCGGGCACCGGTTCTTGTACGCAATTGTCACGTCGTATACTGTATGAGATAAGGGTAATATGGTCATTTTTGTAAAGATATAACACGGTATATGTTATGTTGTTGTTATAAATATAAGGTCCGGTGTAAAATCATTCAAAAAACGAAATTTTGAGTTTCGAGTTAGAAAATGTAATTGGTTTGCATAAAAACATATGTTCCCAAAACTACGTCGTTTTGAGTGGTTTTATTTATTTTAATATTTGACTAGAAAATGATGAAGATGAAGATGGGTAACCTGCATCTAGAGATCCCCTTAAAATTTCCACACAAGCATGAAAGCCTCTGGTTTTGGGAAGCAATACATTCTTGAGTACTGGTAATCCATTTTCAACAGCAAAACGTTGACCGTTTATTGACTTTTGTTCCCTGCATTTAACAAAAAAAAAATAACGTAAAAATTTACCAAGAAATAATTTTCGTAATTCTTTTTTATGTTCGTAACATAACCAATATACAAAGAAATGGCGGTTTAACATATGTTTTGGAATTTTTTTTTTTTTTTGAGGCATGAGAAATGGTTAATTTTATAAAAGATTTTATATTTTGTGTTTTTTTCTGGATTAAATATTATCTTTATTTTTTTCCTGAAAAACCTTGTACCTTTTCATTTTTTCGGAAAAAAACCCTCAATCTTTTAATTGTTTCCGAATTAATCGTCAACTTTTTTAGTTTTTCCCGAATAAGCCCTCACATTTTACAACTTTTTTGGGAAAAAATGACTAAAATGGCCAAATCGAAAAAAATGAAAAATATGCAAGGTCTTTTTCAGGAAAAAAAATAGGTTTAATCTAAAAAAAAAACCTTTATATTTTTCCGGATTAAACCTCAAATTTTATTTTTTCCTGAAAAAGACATTGTATTTTTCATTTTTTACAAAAAAGCCCTCAACTTTGTATTTTTTTTCCAAAAAAAAAATCCCCAACCTTCTAAATGCTTCCAAATAAACCCTCAACTTTTTTAGTTTTTCTCAAAAAATCCCTCACATTTCACAACTTTTTTAGAGAAAAATGACTAAAAGGGCAAATCAGAAAAATGAAAAAATACAAGGTCTTTTTCATGAAAAAAAAAGTTATGATTTAATCTGGAAAAAACACAAAATATAACGTCTTTTATAAGATTAACCCTTTTTAAAACAACAGTGATAACTAGTCGATTACGAATTTACAACACTAACCCAAAAAGTATAAATAATAATAGAAAAGGGTAAAAGAGTAATTACGTAAAATCAGTTCCTTCTGGAAAAACCGCAAGCCACAACGGGTCCAAAGGATCAGTAAAAGTCGAAAGCATTTTATGCATAATACTTTCATCAACTTCCCACTTTCTTTCAACTGAAATAAACTCAAAAACATGAAACCCCCAACCAAAAATAGGCAACTTCATCAAGCTTCTTTTAAGCACATATCGAATGCATCCAAGACACCCTTTTCTCAATGCAAGATCCCAAAGATACATCCAATCAACTTCTGTTCTATGATTTGCAATAACAAGAACACGTTCTTTTTCTGGGACCCTTTCTCCAGAAAATATCACTTTTGTTTTGTTAATCTTTTCAAATAAAAAAGGCCATAAAGCTAACCACAGCCCAAAAAGAAAGGATGATGCTTTTCTGCTGTAGTGTATGCTGAATAGGCGTAGGAAAGCTGCAAATGGAGGGGTAAAATAGACTAAAAACATGAAGGCTGTTGAAAGGTAAACGATTAAACATGCTACACCACGTAAGAGTCTTAGAGGGGTTAAAGGGTAGTGTTTTAGTCCATTTGTTTGGGAAGATGAAGATTCCATTTTTGTGTTTATGTGGATGCAGCTCTTGGTTTATATGGTGATCTTAGAAGAGAACAACATTGTGAAAGGATGAAGCTTTTTAATTCTGTTAAAGAAAAGATAGAGAGAGTCTCAGTTGAGGAAAAATAATCAAAGATTATATATAACAAGTTAAGTGTTCTTATCAGGAAAGTTGTAAAAGTTACAGAAAATATGCTATATATGTATATGCATAGTCATCAAACTTCATAAATTATCCATTTATAATAACTAATAGGTTAAAGACTCCTAGTTTTCTATCTAAATCTTCACTTGTGACTTTTACAAAAATTGTGGTCCTAAAAAGATGCATATCCCTAATTTTATAGTTTCATATTAATTGCAACCAAAAGTTAGTTGAGGCTACTTACTACAACCATGTATTAAGGTATCTAGTAATAAGGTTACCTTGATACCTTCCTTTTTTGTATCCACAAACTACAACATACAAAAATAGTCTTAATGTTTGTTTATCAATTATTAGAGATCTCAACTTAAAGAAATACTAAGAAAGCTTACAATTTTGTCATCAATGTCCCTCTATGCTCAAATCTATACTGACAAATATAAAGATACCAAATTTTGAAGAAAAAAAAAATTCATTTACATATATGTAAATAGTTAAACATACATACGACACAAATTGGGCAATCAGACAATAACTGATAGATACTCCATGATGAACATATCACAATTGAAATTTCAGTCTAACAGCTACAATGAATATGGTCCTCCACTACATTTACTAGTAGATAAGAAATACGTAGTTTAGTTTAGATCTATAAACTTTAGTGATATGAAAAGGCATCATTTAAAAGCTGATTATAGTCTAAAGATCAACCCTAAGCTGTTATGTACTCGTATCTATCTCCCATGTTCATGTACAATCGCCTACCTCAAATGTCCAACAATAAACTATAAGAAACCACAAAACAACAACGGGGGATCAAATTTCTAAACAGCGATTGATAAAAATGAAGCGAAGTTTTTTGCAATCAGATATTCATTAGAGTTTGGAAAATGAAGAAATTGGAAAGCGGACTAAGAACACAAACAGTAATTCTGTAAACAAATTAGGTAACTGGACATAAGAAGAAGCAGGTAAGATCTAACATCGTATACTAAACAAATCACAGACAAAAAAGCTTTAGTTTGTTCACCCTCGAATGAAGCAATCACGCATAGATAAGCAATTGTACGTACCAAATCGAATCGACGGTGAAGATGATAAAGAATTGGAGAATATTTGTGCGTACCTTACGTTATATGGCAATGGCGTATGATTCGGATTTAATTGAATCGAGATTCGAGAGTCAAAATCTTCTCTGTTTTATGCGAGGGAGACAATACAACAGTATTACAGTACCATTCAAGAGGTGACCCACAAAATGAAAATGGTCCCTGTACTATTTCTATATCAACGATTTGTTGCCCTTTGACTTTTTAGTTTTTCACTTTTGACCCTTTAAATGAAAAGGATTACTAATTGACCCTGTATTTTACTATATCAACATTTTTTTACCCTCTAGTTTTTTATTTGTGCACTTTTGGCCCTTCTAGTGAAAACGTTTTCTAATTGTTGGATACTTTAGTTATTTCCATTGTTCTAAATCTTATTATCAAGCTATGTTTGATTTTTATATGAAATGGTGTAACCGGCATACATGAAAACCAGATTCTATATAGGTTAGTTTAAATTAATTATTGTTTATTATGATTCATTATTTATTAAAATGATGTAATGTGTGTATATAAAATCATAAATTAATCCGTAACTTATTTAGAATGTAATTTTAGTTGTAATAAGATATAAGAAGAAATATCTAAAGTTGGACAAAAGTTGAACTAAGATTGAGCGATTTGGTTATAACACTTTTTACGTTTAAGGCGTATTCGGTAAAACTAACTGGTAACGAGTAACAGTTATCGGATAAGGGGTAACTAGTAACAAGTAGCGTTTCATTTTAGAGAGTTTTGCTGAAAGTTTCTCCATGTAGCTTTTGATTTTGGAGCGTTTTGTTTGGGCTAAAAGTTAAACGTTCATATCGTCGAACGAAATGTTTTTTTTAAAGCTTTTCCTTATAAGCTACAAGCCAAAAGCCAGAAGTTCCCAAACGTTACATGTCAAATACAACCTAAGAATTTGTTTTAAAATCGGAGAACAATTTGCAAACATCTATGATACTTTCTTGACACTTATGACAAAATCAAAGCTAAAAGTCCAAAATAATAAAATGATAGTAATAATAATAATGGCGATGGTGATGTTGTTTTATTTATGCAACAAAACTATGCGATGTTGATTTCTTATTAATATATACAACCAAATATAAGTCTTGTTATCATATTTTATAAATTCATGCAACAAGATAAATTTGTTGATAGTTTTGTGAATAAATGTTATATATTGCTAGTAAGTGCCTAAACATGGTATGAAGTGGTAAAAGCACAATTTCAGAACTCTTGATTATCTATAGGTTTGTTGATGTTACAACATTTGTGTATTTAATTTCGAAACTCTCTTTTTACTTAGAATAAATTGTATAAATCGTTTTAGTATCTCCAACTCACTTTTCCGTTTTCATTTTTTCTTCTATTTCTTCCCCAATTCCTCTCCAAACACTACCCCATTTATTCCCCTAATATAGGGGAAATGAATAGTATAACATCAAATATAGTGTGTTATACTATTTATTTCCTCCAAAATAAGGATGAACTTTGAGTTGTCGGTTTTAATCCCTCATTTTATATATTTATACATTTTTTTATCTATTAATTATTATTTAAATGTAATATTTAATACTTATAATATTGTGTTGTATATTAAATTATATTAATTAATTATAAATATAAAGTTTGTTTTTTGTTTATCAAATTCATATTAAATTTTAAATACATATTGAAATTTTAAAACACAACGTATTTTATAAAAACTTACAATTACGTATTATAAATATAATCTTATTTATTTAATATTATCGTAATGAAAAAAAAATAAAGATTGTATATTTGTTAAAATCAAATTAATAGAAGAGTGTGTTTGACAATTTATATAAATTATAAGAATGAAATATATTTTTTAGGGGTAAAAATGAGGTAAAAAATAAAGTTAGGTTGGAAATGAACTACAATTTACCCCATTTTTTATTCCATTTTTTGGAGGAAAAATGGAAGTGGGTTGGAAATGGTCTAAGTTGTAGGTGCATGAGCTGCCTCAAACCGAGAAAAAAAAACACTCAATTGACGTGTAAGTGTAGGGTTTTCGTGCTTTGCAAATGGTGGTGATCGATTGGAAGTATATATATATATATATATATATATATATATATATATATATATATATATATATATATATATATATATATAGAGAGAGAGAGAGAGAGAGAGAGAGAGAAAGAGAGAGAGAGAGAGAGAGAGAGAGAGAGGTAAGTTCAATTGAGAAAATAAAAAAGATTGAGAATGAGAATGAGGAAATCATTCACAGCCACTCATTTAATCTAAGTATAAAAACACGATGGCAAACTTATAAATATGTTAATAACCTTCAATCTTAAATACGTAACTATAGAGAATTCGATAACAGTTCGTTCATCATCAAAATTTCTCCTGCAGCCTTCAACAATCATCCAGATTTCTTCAACTAAACCATCATCAATGTTATCCAGTATCAATCAATCATCGATATTCGTGGCTGGGATGTTCGCCATTCAAGACAGATTCGCAACCCAAATTCATCGATTTCTTTGTTGAATACTCTAAATGTTCGTAGCTTGCAAGCATTTGTTAAAGTTCATAACAGATTTGGAACTGGAATTTCCCAGATTCGCAAACGAACTCAGTTGGAATTGGAGTTCTGGACTCGCAGTCACAGTCGACATTGAAGGACTCAGAATCGGTACTCATAGGTTCCCAATCAGATTTTCAGAAATCAAAATCAAAATGAGAAATCAATCAGACATAGGATGTCGCATCTAAAGTCGAAATCAGAAGTATGTGATGATTTGGAATTGATAACTTGAATCGGAAGTATCATGTTTTTAACATAGTTAACTTGTATGCACTCCAATTGTTTGATGAAATGCATAAACTAACTTACCACGTTATATTCACATATGAATATGTTTTCTCACCTGAATCAGTATATGATTATTAAAAACACAAAACAAATATGCAAGTCTGTATGTTATTCATATGTGAATAACATATAAAATTATATATATATATATATATATATATATATATATATATATATATATATATATATTTGTGAAAATACATTCTAATATTCATAAGTGAATATATTCACAAGTGAATATACCTTGTAATATTAATATGTGAATATATTGTGTAATATTCATAAGTGAATATATCATCTAATATTCACAAGTGAATACACTTTGTAATATTCATATGTGATATACCATGTAATATTATGTATTATTCACATATGAAAATATCATTTAATATTCATAAGTGAATATATCATCTAATATTTACAAATGAATATACTATGTTAATATTCACAAGTGAATGAATCGTCTAATATTTAAATATGAATATATTATGTTTATTATATGCTATATTCATATATGAATGATACTTAAATTGTAAAAAAATTAATCATACTTTTTATTCATAAATGAATAACAAATGTACTCTAATAAAATCTAATGCATTTTTATTCACTTATGAATAACAATAGCTAAAAATAAAAAATAAAAATATTTTATCTTTAAACTATATCAATATGGATGTCTATTTGTAGAAAATAAATAATTATGAATTTTAGTATATTTAAAATTATTTTTCGATAAAAATAGCTTCTTAAAAATTAAAAAAAAAAAAAAAATCAGAAAAAAAAAAACTACATTTTTGTATATATTAAGGTAATGATTAGTATAGTTTAAGAAAAAATATGTTTTGTTGTAAAACACATGTCTATTCATTTTCCATTTCCGCTGGTACGACGGAGGCTTTTGCGACAAAAATAAATGAGTGGCTGAAAATGATTCCCCAATTCTCAACCTTTTTTATTGCAACGACATTTAAAAACAAAAACCATTCTTTAATTTTCAAGATGCTATTTTTGTAATTAAATCAAAAACTATAAAATAATATTCATATAAATCAAAAAATAATTAAAAACAATTAAAAAAACACACTAACTTACACCATTTACCACCCAAACAACACCACTCACAACATTACCTACCACCCATCACCACTACCTACAACCACCAACCACCACCACCCACCACAACTA